CTATTTGCTTTAATTAAGAACAAAAAATTATTTTTTTTTAAATTTTTTAATTGAATTTTTCTTTTATAACATATTAAATATATATTACAAAAAATTTATACATTTATTGAATTTATTAAAAAACGTTTGTTTTTTAAATATTTACTTTGTTTTTAGAACTTATTACACAAAAATACAAAATGGCGCATGTTACAAAAGAGATCTATGAGACTTCAGATGAAGTCATTGAACTTAATGCAATTTTAAATGAACAAATTTCCAGTAGTTCTGTTCTTTTGAAAGCGAAAACTACTGGTGTAGGCAAGTCAAAAGTTTGGATGAATTTTTCTTTGCTCTTCAAATTACATGCCAACAAACCTGTCAAAAATATTGCAGTTTGTAACATTTGTATAAAAGCTGTTCACCAAAAGCTAAGTAGCACTACTACTTTGATCAGACATTTAAAAACACATGCCCCAACAGCTCAAGATCCTTCTTAGTCTATTTTGCCAGTAATAAAAAGGGAAAATTCTACCTTCAAAACATCTGTGCAAGTTCATAAAAACCACAAGAATGCGATGTTGAATAGTTGTCTTGCGTTATTTAGTACTGATCTTCGTCCATTTGTAACAATTTATGGGGAAGGATTTGAATCTGTCATAAACACTGCTATTCATCTTGGTGCTACTTATCGGGGACATATTACTGCTAAAGACATTCTTCCTTCCAAACACAAAGTTGCTGAAGCCATTAAAACTAGTGCTTCAAAGTCTAGAATCACAATCAGCCGAATACTCAAAGCGAAACTAGAAAGAAGTGGTGTAGGCATAACTACTGACATTTGGACTGATGATTTTCACAGAAACTCATATCTATCGATGACGCTGCATTGGATTGAAAATAATTAAGTACAGGAGGCGGCAATGGCTTTTTCTGTGTTACCTCCTATTTCAAAAACTGCCACTGTCGTCTCTCGATATCTCATTGACAATTTTAAAAAGGTAGATGCCTATACTGCTGGCGGACTGAGACGAATAATTTTCACTACTGATCAAGGTTCTAATATTTTGAGTGCTTTCAAAGATAGTGGCTTTGTAGTAGCAATAGAAGATATAGACATTTTTCCAGAAATCTTGCAATCGACAAGAATTTCATGTAGCAGCCACATCTTGAACAAAACTTTTTAAACCATCTAAACTGAAAATTCACTGCTTTTCTTTGCATGATCTTCTTCACAATTGTTATCAAGTTGTTACATTCGTGAAGAGTGGAAATGTGAATGCAAAATTAAGCCGGACTCTAAAAAAATATGTAGCTACACGTTGGAATTCACATCTGGCACTCTTTAAAGGAGTCCTTCTAATGTATGATGAATTGTTGATCCATTTACGAGGAACTAAGAAAATGGTAGCAATTGAGGCAATCGACAAAAATCAGTTGGAGGTTTTGGTTAAGTTTTTAAAAGTTTTTAAATCTGCAAGTGATGATTTGGAAGGGTCAACCTATCCGACAATTTATATGCCAATTTTGTTTAATTTTAGTATGCAAGATTACTTCAAGTCTTTCTCCTCATCTTTTGCACAGATTCCTTTGAACATTACTCCTGAATCAGACAATCCAGAGCCTTATGTAATTGATGATGACACTGACTTGGCAAACACTTTTCCAGTTGAAAACTTTTTGCGTTGGGTTAATGATTCTGACTTTGAAACTCAATATGATTCTCAGGTCTTCAAACAGGACTATGAAAACCAAAGAGATATTATTACGTACTTGTCAAGTTTTGCAACTGACATTTTGTCTAATAAATTCAAACTAAATCATATTCATTGCATTGGTTTGTTTCTTATTCCCTTTTGCAAGTCTTTCAAAGTCTTCGGACAAAATGCTTCTGCCAAGCTTATAGAAACAAAGGAAAACCTGCGACGTCTTATACAATATTGTAATTTTGAAAAGACAAACTCATAACCGATCAATTCTCCACCTCAGAAAAAGCAGCACTCCTCTACCAAGCCTTTTTCTGACCACATTTTGCCTTCATTTTTTTCCTATATTGACTCAACAGCCCCTGTTGAGAATAATGAAATTGAACAATATAGTAGAATTGAAGTTGTGGCACCAAATGTTCAAGATTTGAAAAATTTGGGGAATGAAGCACTAAAGTGGTGGGGAAAAAATAAAGAGACATTACCAGTATTGTTCATTGTATCTAGCTTTGTTCTTGCCATTCTTGCTACCTCAGCCCCAAGTGAACGAATGAATTCCATTGCAAAGCTGATTACTAATGACAGGAGAGCCAATCTTGCACCAGAAACAATTGAAGCCTTGATGCTACTTCGAATGGACAAGTAACTGCAAAATTCCCATTTCAATGCCAAAGACAAACACTAAGAAAACTTATTGAAAACTTACTGACCTTTTTTTAAATTTACTACCTGTATTATACAAGCTGTATATACTGCACTTAAATCTGTACTAGAAATTACTACGAACCTGTAAATATGAAAAATTGTCCGATTCTTGTGTCATTTTTTATTTTTCATTTTTTTGCATGTTTGACATCCGACCGCGTTCGAGATTTTTAGTTCAATGACTGTTCGGTGATCGATCGGTGTTCGGTTCGACATTAGTTTTTCTGTCCGGTGTTTGGGGTGTCCAGGTTGTTTGACAAAATTATTTTTGCTCGTGTTCGACCGGTTCGGTGGTTCGGACCGTACGAACACGGCCGAACAGAAAAACGTCAATCAGTCCGACCATCTCTATACATAATGGAGGTTTATTTTCACAAACAGCACACTCATATCGTGTTTCTTTTCGTTTTCGTTTAGAGCAGACTCGACATGGTTTTGTTGGGAAATTTTTCTTTTTATTCAGTGGTATTGAAGACAAGTAGTGGAAGCTATTATTGGCTATTCGAGGCACAATTTCATTTAAACATTCACCCAATAAATCCGTAACAACTATTTCTCTAAATTTAAGCAAGGAAATTGTTTTATCTACTCCATATTTGCTGCTTAGACAGTAAGCATTAAACAAAAAAATATTAAAGAGATGAAGTTCTATTTTTTTATACCATCTAAGTGTCTTTCTTAGGCAATCATAATATGATACCATTTGATCCACTCTATCTTTTCCTGACATACATTAATAGTAATGTTTAATAATGTTGGGTTTCATTTTCTTCTCTCCTCTCCTGTTTGTCACCTCAATCATTTGCAACGAATGCAAGTTGCTAATCATTAGCACGTCTCTTTTGTCTTTCCATTAAGCAACCACTACGCCCTCTCTGCTTCTGCTTATAACGTCTCCCTGTTTCAGTTTTGCTTTTGTACATTCTTTTGGATTTGACTTTCGGTCAGTTCTTAAAGTACCACAAATGTATGTTTTTTGATTTATTATGTGCTTTGTTAGTTCAAAGGAAATCTAAAAGTTATCGGTGTACAGGTGATAATCTTTTCCCAGAAATTTTTTTATTAAATCTAAAACAATAGCTCCCGTTTGACCCAACAAATGTTTATCGTTTCTCTCCTCTCCTGTTTGTCACCTCAATCATTTGCAACGAATGCAAGTTGCTAATCATTAGCACGTCTCTTTTGTCTTTCCATTAAGCAACCACTACGCCCTCTCTGCTTCTGCTTATAACGTCTCCCTGTTTCAGTTTTGCTTTTGTACATTCTTTTGGATTTGACTTTCGGTCAGTTCTTAAAGTACCACAAATGTATGTTTTTTGATTTATTATGTGCTTTGTTAGTTCAAAGGAAATCTAAAAGTTATCGGTGTACAGGTGATAATCTTTTCCCAGAAATTTTTTTATTAAATCTAAAACAATAGCTCCCGTTTGACCCAACAAATGTTTATCGAGAGTTGCCTCGCCAGAGTAGATTTTCACTTTTAGTACAATACCATCTGATTCGCATAGCTCATAGAATTTGATACCATACTTATTTTACACATACTGCCTAAATACAAGACGTCCCTTCCAAAGCATCATTGATTCACCAAATGATATATTTTTATTAGGACAGTAGATATTATCCATTGTAATTGTTAAGTAATCAAGAAGTCCAATAATTTTACACAAGCGTCCGCTACCCGAATCTTCATTGTTAATAAAATGCCAAAACCGTAATATTGGAATTTATTTTGTGGCATTATTCTAGAGAATAAGGCAAATCAATAGAGACTGTTCTTAGATCAGTATTCTAAAGATGGCATTTTGACACACTACATATGAAGAAGAACTCCAAGGAACTGCCGCATATCTTCTAAGTTTATTGGTTTCCAATCTTTAAAACGTGAGCTCCTTCTGAGCGGACGCTGCTTATTTATTTCTTGCGTTGCGTTGCAATTACTTTTGACTACTATTTACAAGCTCTTCCGTAACAAATAGTTTAAAAAAATCTAATGGTTTCTTGCTCTCCATGTTTATCTTCAAACCAGGATTGGCAGTAAATTGAATTTGTTTTACAATATTTGGCTCATCTTTCCATTGGTTTGAGTTTCTAGATGGATTTGCTTCAGAAGTTGTTTGTTATACTAATTGCGGTGACATTACTAATTTGAAGTATACAATAAAATTTAAAGTACACAATAAAATGCGGATGCTTAATGCATCAAATAAGCTACATTACTAAGCACCGCAATGAGTTATACTCATTACGGTGTTACTTAGGCAATGGAGAAAAAAATCTCTTCTCCATTGTCAAAGTATGAGTATACTCGTATTGCTTATTTTTTGTCAGTTATATTCAAAATAAAAAATACTATAGAATTATTTTAGATTAAGAATACTTTATTTATTGAAATGTTGATATCTAGCCTTGGCAATGAGAATGAAACCGCGCAAAACAGCCTTGGCAAAAATTAATCATTGCAGACATGACTTGGCAAAGTATTAAAGCGTAGCTCGGCAGCGAATGTCTTAACATCCATTTATCACTGTCTATCATTGCATTAGGTAGATAACTTTGCGCATGCGCAATTTCTGAAATTGAAAGCAAAATGGTTATAATAATAAACAACAATAAACGGTTTAAAGTTTAAACCCAGACCATTTTATGGATATATTAGAAGAAAATAATCAATCTAAATGTGATAAAAATGAATATAATTTTATCACAATTTTTTTAAATTATAAAAGCAATTTGAAAGAAAATTTTTTTTTTATGATTTACTTTACTATTGTAAGCAGTCAAGCTATTACGTATAACACAAGTCTTCGACAAAGAGTTGCTATAAACTTTTTTAAAACCCAAGTTTCAGCTAAACACAAACCAAAAACTATGTATTTCATGGTAAATGTAATTGACATATATATATGTCAGTTTTTTGACAAGTTAAACCCAAAATATTACATAGCAAGTTCAACATTAAGTATGCTTTTCGAGTTGAAGAGTTAAATGAGTAAAGGTAATTTTTTGAACTTTAAATTTTAATAATTTTTTAATTCGAATACAGTTTTTTTTAATTTTTATTATTTATCTGCATAAATGGCTTAAACAGACACAGACAGGTGAACAGGGTTCCCAAACCTCCTTAAAAACCTTAAATATCCTTAAAAATAGTTTTCAAACCTATTTTTGTTATTATATATATATATATATATATATATATATATATATATATATATATATATATATATATATATATATATATATATATTTTATAGAATTATATATATATATATATATATATATATATATATATATATATATATATATATATATATATATATATATATATATAATTCTATAAAATATATATATATATATATATATATATATATATATATATATATATATATATATATATATTTTATAGAATTATATATATATATATATATATATATATATATATATATATATATATATATATATATATATATATATATATATATATATATATATATATATATATATGTATATATATATATATATATAATAATTTCTCTGTTTATATTTAAAATTTATTGAAAAAAATTATATTATGTTTTTAATGTAATCATTTTCTCCTTAATTATCCTTACTTTTTCTTTCAAAAAAATGTTGTTCGCAACCAAATCTCCTTAAATATTTGGAAAATATCTCTTTAAATCTCGTTAAAATCCTTAATTTTAGCCTTAGTTTTAATAGTGGGAACCCTGGTGAACAAGATTTAAAAATATCAGTGTTTATTTTTATCAGAATTTAATATATAATTTATGTTAAATATAACATTTTTATTATCCTTTTTGAGCACTCTTTTACGATTATGAGTTTTGTTTTATTATTATAATACTTTTCTATTAAATAGAATAAAGAAAACATTGGCGAACTTATTAATAATTCAGATATTTCTGCTAAAGAGTTCTTAAAATGCTTAAATTATCGTTTTATAACACAAAATGTAATTAAACCAACTTTTCAAATTAATGAATTTGAATCCACTATTGTTATTGACCTAATATCAACAGAATCAAACAAAAGAATATTTGGGTGCACTTAGTCACAGTCACCAAATCCTAAAGTTTTTGTATTGCTTTAGAAATAATTAAAAAAAACTCTGTACAAATACAGCAAATTATAATGGCTTTTCCAATATGCCAAATAGCTACGACTGGCATCTTGAATTCAAAAATTTAGATGCTAATGTTTCATACAAAAAATTAGTCAATATTTACTATAAAAGACTTATATATTTCATTCCATCAATTACAAAGGGAGTTGTTAAAACAAAAGCGCCTTGGATGAACTCTAACTTAAAAGTGTTAATTAGAAAGAAAAGAAACCTTTGGAGAAAATGTTTACATAATCGTTTTTTTAACAAAGGAAATGTATTAGAATACAAATCAATTAGAAATAAAGTAAAAAAAAAGTTAAGAACCAAATTAAATTATATGAAACAACCATCGCCTTAAACATTAAAAAAAAAAAACCAAAAGCAATTTATGCATATATAAACAAAAAATAAAAAGTTAAAAGAAATTAACGCATTAAATGTAAACCGCAAATTTGAAACAAATTATTTATCAATAGCACATTCCTTAAATAACTATTTTAACAGTGTGCAACATGTTGTCTGCAATGGCGAATTTTCAAATTGGTCTCCAGGTACAAGTGGAGTACCGCAAAGGTCTGTCTTGGGTCCGTTTATGTTTATTGTTTATATAAACGACTTACCAAATGAGTTATTAACGAACTGTAAAATGTTAAATATTAAACTAATTAACATAGTTAGATCATCTTCTGATATAGAAAAGACTCAAACAGATCTAAACAAATTAATGACATGGTCACAAAAATATTGCTATTAAATTTAATGTCAGTAATAGAGATGTCAAACCTAATTATTTGTTATTTGGGTATTTAGAGTTTTTAGCACTATTTGGGGTCACCCAAGTATTTGTATTTTTACCCAAATATTTGTACACAAATAGTGCAAAAATTTTAAGTTATTTTTTGGCATTTTTTTAAAAAATAACCGTCACATTTTTAAAAATCTAATTTGTTATGAACCTTTTTCAATTTCCAAGTTATCAATGGACAGGAAAGTGAAAAAACTTATTGCTATTTATTTGTGAAAAATTTTATTTTTTTTATGTAAAAAAATGAAACGATGCTGCAAAATTTTGTGGGCTAATATATTGTTAATTTATTGAACTTTCCTAACAAAATTTTTTGGAGCCTATTTCAAATTTTTGTTTAAGTTTTTAAATACATTTTTTTATACAGAGAAGTCATAGTTTATTATCTCTAGTAATTTGTATTAACATTGGAAATTGGGCAATGTAAAAGAAACAGTTTCATACATGCATTAAATGCAGTAAATACATTAATTAAAGTAGCTATTCTTTTATTTAAATTATTCAGTCTTTAACAAAACTTTTTAATCAAATATTATTTTTTACAAAATAATAACAATTTATTTTCTTTTTTTCCTATTATATAACTATTGAAAAAAAGTGTCAAATATAGCAAAACCTTTTTTAAAAGCAAAAAGACAAAAACTAATAAACATAATAACGAATAAACCTAAGAAAAATTAACAAAATTTCTTATAGTTCTAACGTACATAGCAAATAAGTTACTTAATTATATGGACTGATAAAAATCGTGAATAAATTGCATATCAAAACTTTCAATTGTTGTTAAATCGTAATAAAAGATTTTTTTTCAACAACGAATCTAAAAAAAGGATACAAAAGTTGTATAAAAATTTTATAAAATTTTTTTTTTCAATTTTTTTTTTTTTTTAATTAATAAATTTTCTAGTTTATTTAATTAAACTTGATATTACGTTACAATTTTGTTCCTTATTTAAGAATTTTTTTTTTTTTTAGTAAATAAGTTTAGCTTTTTGCCACGAATTAGTGCTTTATAAGTTAAAAGATGTGAACTGCCGTGGTCAGTTAGTCTAAAAAAATTACTTTAAATGTGGACAAACAAGACATGTGACCACACACGCTTTCCGGGAGGCTTGATATATATATATATATATATATATATATATATATATATATATATATATATATATATATATATCTGTGTGTGTGTGTGTGTGTGTGTGTGTGTACATACATATTTATTTATTTTTATGTAAAAGGACCCCTAAATTTGCAATCTTCAGAATTAGAAAAAATAAGGTTGGCAAATTATTGCCGACCTTATATTTTTCTAATTCTGAAGGTTGCACATATACCAATCCAAGATAAAAGTATTGCATTTATAGGGTCTGTCAAGGTTTATGCCATGACCCCGGCCCCGGGTATGGTTTATCAAACCTGGTCCCTGTCACTTACTACCTGACTTGCATTACACTTGTTTTTTGTTTTTTTTCAAAAATTTTATCGTATAATTTGACAATAGTGGTTCCTTTCAACATAAATTTTATGTTTGTGAGATAATATGAAACTGCTCTACAATTTATTGGAATCAAATCTTTTTATAAAAAACGTTTCCTAAAAATAATTTCCCCTAATACTGTTTTTTGATTGTGGAAGAAAAAATTCAAAAGCAATTTACGCAGAATTTTTTTTTTTTTTTTTTTTTTTTGTTTCTGATTTTTTTTTTTTTTATTAGTCGGTGATCAGTTATTACAAATAAATGTTTATTGAATAATAATAAAGGAAATGGTATATTTATTAGAGAATAATATAGAACACTTAAAAAAATATAATATAGTAGTGTTGTAAAAAAGTTAAACCTTTGTAAATAATATAGGATGTGTGTTGTAAAAAAGTAAAAAATAATATCAGATTTAAAAAAGTTAATACCTAGTGACAAATAAAGGGCATATGTGTGTTGTAAAAAAGTTAATGCATTAGTGAATAACATAGGACAAGTTTGTTGTAAAAAAGTGAACACCTTAGTGAATAAACCTAACCCTAACACCTTAGTAAATAACCCTAACTTTGACCCTAACCCTCACCGTTTATTAAATTTTTGGCCCTATATAAAATTATATAAGTTGTATAATACTAGGACAAAAATTATAAGGTTATTATGCAATGATTTAAAATCTTATCGTTTTTATAAAGACTAATTTATATACTATATAAACGTAATATAAGGAAGATATATAAATTAAAAAGTTATCTAGACAATTTTTAAAAAACATATCTAATACAGTCTAAAAACCGAAAATGTATATATTTTTTATTGAGATTTAGTAAAAAATAATTAATTTGATTTGCCAGGGAACAGATCACTCACTCACAATTTGGCAAAGTTTTGTCAGCTTAGTTTATTTGGCTAAATATGAAACTGAAACTCTTCATATTTCATTGGCTGGTTATAAGATTAAAGTGATTTCTAGAGAAATAATGTAAGGATTTACTGTAAATTGTTCTTTAATAAAGTAAAAAAACATAAGTTTATACTTTTATGCATAACTGATTCTGCATCTAATGAAAATGCAACAAAGAGTGGAACAAATACTGCATAACCAAATCATTTTGTGTTTGTTAGACCATCCTTTATGAATGTAGTCGCAGCATTAGATGCTCACTAATGACATCATACTAAAACAGGTAGCTGTGGGTAGGTGGGGGGGGGCCAAAATTCTATTTTTTTTTTGTATATCCAATTATTCTTAATTATTTTTTTTAGAAAAGTTTAATGAATAATTCAGTTATTGCTTTTTTTTTTGTGATTGACTTTCTAGTTTAATTTTTAATTTTAATTTTAAAAATAATAAAAAATTTAAAAACTAGAAATATATGCAGCATATTATTTGCGTGTTAAGTTACGCAACTTTGTGTTTAAATTTATGTAAATTAAATATTGATTGGATAACTTTGAATTAAAATGAATGAAAGTTGCGTTTAAACAAAATAAAGTCTTATCTAGTGCAAAAAATTTGTTTTGATTTATTTTGCTAGAAAATACTTTACTATTAATTTAAAAACTGAATTTAGATATCGATTAAAATGA